AAATAAGATTTTGAAATTAATTATAAGAGTCCTTCCCATGGGAAAATGCTGTTGTTTTGAACTCTTAAAAAAAAGCATGCTAGGATGGGACTTTGAAGGTTGGACACTAGAGGGAACCAGAAGGAACTAATTATTACAATTAAAGGAGAAGAACACTCAAATTCAACTTACTAATATATAATGGAGCAAAACACTTTAACATCAGATATATTGAAGAATATTTGTGAACAATGGACGCAGAAATTCATTTTAAAATCTCTGTCATTATAGATAAACTGTGTTTAAAAGATGAATATGGAAAAGGAACAAGTTTTACTGGACAAGACTGAGAAGGATCAGAAAAGAAATCAAGTTCCAGGACTTTATTTGAAGGGATTAAGGATCAAGATTGTTAAAAGTAAAGGGAAGGAGTATAAAAAGATCATGACTGTTAAAAGTAAAAGGAATATAAAGTTGGTTTATTTGATCAAGGTTAAAATAGATACGTTGTTATCCCAGGTAACCCTTAATGGACTTTTGCTGACCAGGACTGAACAATGAAGCTTATCTATAAGAGACTGAATCTCTTATAGATAAGAGATGAAATATGGGACAAAGAGATCATTTGGTGAATTTTAAGAGAAGGTGATAAGTGACTAAAAATGTTTTTGCTTGTTATGAAGGGGAAGTCATTTCTTATTTCTTTTCCTTTTCTTTACTATGTTCTTATTTTTTCTTTCTTTTCTATTTTTCTTCTTTCTTTACTGCACTTTTTATTATTTCTTTATATTCTTTTATTTCTTTTTAGTTTGTATTAGTTCTTATCTTCTAATTGCAATATTTAATAAAATTATTATTAAAAAATGACATTTCTCTAGGGATTTTCCAGAAGTCAGGTTTTCGTAAACTTTCCCACTGCCTAGATATGAAGGGTTCTTCTTAGGCTTAGGAGGGCTATTTAGGCAGGACATGAAATTCTTATTTTCATATCATGAATTTGGTATTCTTACATTTCCATACTGGATCCTTGGAACATATGGGGCTATAGAAAGGTTACAGCCTTAATTTTATGAGATTATCAACAGTGATTTGTGGAATATAAATATTATTAAACAGAGTTGTTTTAAATGTTTTATCTGTTTTGTTTTAACTAAGAGTTCAGCCTTTTTGAACTCTAGAAGATTAATAGTCTCAAGACATCCAAATTAAGAAAAAGAGTTTGCAAAGTAGCAATGGCCTGTCATTTGATTGATAAAGTTAAAACAATAAACAGTATCTGAGAAGTATTTTTATGAAAGGCAGGAGGATGGCATGGGGGACAACAGGACCAATATATTGAAACAAGTAGAATTATACTGCATATAATTGCCCACTCCTTTATCTCCAATGATAGCACTGAATTTATTTTTTATTCCTGGGGAAACAACAGTCTTCCATTTGCTCCATCCATTTACTGTTCTTACTACCTTATCCATTTAAGGCTTGAGCATGACCTCCCCAGTTTGGGCTGGCATCTGAAGTGGTCTTATTTTAGGGATCACGTGCTGGGGAAAAACAGCAACAGACATCTCTGAGCATTCCCTTTGAGCCTCCCAGACATTCCTATTGGCTCATCATTTCTTCTGCTGTAGGACACAGCTATGTATATTAGATGAGCTACAGGTAAGACTTCTTCTGACTCAAAGTCTAGTGTGGCTTTGAACAAATGGCATTGTTACTAATGGGACAGAGAACAACTCAGGGAAAGAGCCTCCAGATCTTAGATTTGAAGATATCCTGTCCCAAAGCCTCTGATTCCAAAACTTCTTAGGTGGAAGGATTTATGAAGAGATAGTTGCAGAACTTAACTAGAACACAATATATTGCTACTGAGTCACTTCTGAGAGAAAGCAATATGGAGCTATCAGAACATTTTATATTATAAGCTCTGACCTTCCAGGAAGAAGTTCCAATTTGTTCTTGATCATTTATTCTGAGTGAGAAAGAGAAGCTTAAGAGAATGTGTGTGTGTTTAACAAGAAAAGATAATGAAATATTAACCAGGAAGAGATAGCCAAAATTGGAGTCAAGGAAGATTCTCAATTGAATAATAGGTATATTACAAAAGTTAGTCAGCTGTGAACAACAGGGGTCCATGGTCATATTCCATATAGACTGAAAAGCAGATTGTAAGAATCATGATGATAGTGATGATGAGCTTGATGGTAGCTGGGTTTAAATAAGGAAACAAATTTCATCAACAATCTTTGTTTTGCAGTGTCCTCTAAATAGATTCCTTGAGTCTACAATATCTGTAACTACCTAAACTTATAGCGCTCTACATGGGCCTACCCTTGAAGAGTATCCGGAAGCTTCAGCTGGTCCAGAATGCAGCCGCGCGAGCAATTTTTGGGGCCCGAAGGACCCATATAACCCCTTTGCTCCGTGAGCTGCATTGGGTACCGGTTTGCTTCCAGG